CGACTGTGAAGTAGTGCCTCCTGATGTCTAGCCTGAACCTACTCTCGATCAACTTGTGGCCGTTATTCCTAGTTACCCTAGGTAATGCTTAGGGGAACAGGGCCTCTCCCATTCCCCTGCTGGTCTCCCCTGCTAAGTTTATAGACAGGTACCAGAACCCCTCTCAGGCTTCCCTTGTGAAGGCTGAACGGCTTCAGGTCCCGTAGGCTCTCCTCGTAGGGCCTGCCCTGCTGACCCCTGACCATGCGAGTGGCCCTCCTCTGGACCTTCTAGAGTTTCATTGCAAAAGTTATAATAGTGCGCATATTATGAAGAAATATGCTAGCGTACTATTACAGTTCCTAAAGATACCTTAACTCTCTTTATCTAAAACTGGTTCACAAGAAAAGAGAGAAGTTTATATTTATGCAGGACACATTACAACTGAATTGATGCAGTTATTCAGACTTGAGCCCTGATGAATGTATACTATACCACCATGCTGTTTTCTCAATTTATCACATTTTCTCAATGTAGCACAGTGGTTTTTGTATCATAACTATTATCTAGCAGTAGGAAAATTTGTGTATCTATCTAAATAGATCTATAAATAGATAGATATAGATAGATATCTATATAGATATAGTGTATATTACACCCCCCCAAACATTACACACACACACACACGTTTCATTCTTTGTAAAGCATTTAGGTCCAAGATGGAAAAAAACCTGTTTCACTTTCAGGCATAAAATACATTCACAAATAGAGACAATTAGGTTGATACATAATTGGTTTAATAACCACAAAGAAAGAGCAACTATTAATGGATCAATGACAGACTGGCAAGAGCTCTCAACTAAGATTCCATAGGGGTTTTTTCTGAGTCCAGTGTTGTTTAACATCATATTAATGACTTGGATGCAAAAATACAGAGTATACAGATCAAATCTGCAGACAACACACAGCTTTGGAGGAGAGGATTAAAATAAAAATGGATCTTGATAAATTGGAGGGGGGGAGCTTAAATTAGAGTGGCTCTGACTGCCGCTTTAAAGCTCCCAGAGTATCACATGCATTAGTGTACCCATTGAACGAGCTTTAGTTAAAGCACCCCTGCTACCATTTTTTACTATGGGAACGCTGATGCACATCACGCTGGAGTCTGGTGGAGTATGATAATTACCATACTCCAGTAGACTCGATTAATCGAGTCTGCTCAAAGCGCTGTAATTATGGCACGTCAGAGTAGCCTCAATGTACGTGTATAGGCACCCATATAAACTAACTAGTTCAGAGAGGCATGATCTTTTGTAGGCCATAACTTACCAGGAGCCAATGAAGTAGGTAGGTTTTTGTTTACAAAAGCTCATGCATCTCCAATTTAGTTAATCTATAAGGTGCAAACCTACCTTGCCTTCTGCTTGACTTTGGACTAACACAGCTAATTAACTCTCTGCTCAAGGCAATGGATTTTAAACTGAAGAAAAGTATATTTAGATTAAATCCCAGGAACAGCTTCCTAGCCATGAAAATAGTAGTCCAGTTGAACTTCCTGCCAAAGGTAGCTTTTTCAAGAAGTCTTCATTTAGTAATAGCACATCCCTCTTTTATGCAGGAGGCTGAACTAGATGACACTCTTGGCTTTATCCCAACCCTGATAGGCTTGTTAAAAGTATTTTATATGCTACACTAAGATCTGGTCTTGCTACTGTTCATCTCTCTCTTTCAATTATTGGAAGTGAAGTGGATTTTTTCAAATACTTTTTTTTAAATGTACAGCAAAAAAATGTATAAGCAAAACAATTAAAATTTATGTAACACAGGGCATTTGACAAATCTACGAAACAGTACAAGCACTATAGTACAGTTTGTAGAGCTGTATTATAATGAACAAGATAGCAAAAACAAGACTACAACCAAAATACCACAGAAAGAATAAACTGTTTTTTGTTTATTTTAGCTATTCTTTCTACCTAGCTCTAAGTGACTTTTGTTATGAAAATAAACAACGAAGTTCAACAGTTAATAATTGATGCATAGAGACATTTTACAAAATTATTTTCATTTCTTTAGAAAGAAATCAGAGCAAAGAGGATTCTTCCAGGTTTGGAAAATGAATGGCCTCATCTAGTTGGCAAGTAGCATTTAAAACCAGGGCATTAATTAAATTTACAACAGATTTTAAATTGGCACTTATTTATTCATGTATGCATATGATTTATATGCTGTCCTTCCCAACAATGGCTCGGAATGGCTTACCGTAAGAGAATAAGATTAACTTATAAAACAGAAGAATGAACAAAACAATTTCACAGGTAACTACAATATCAACATCAACACAGAATCCCCTTAAACCAGAGCTTTCCAAACTTTTCATGTTGGTGACACATTTTTTAGACATGCATCATTTCGCGACACAGTAATTCAGTTCCGGGGGAGGGGCCAAGGGAAGCAGACACGAGTAAGGGAGCTCCGCGGTGCCCTTCCGCAAAGTTTGCTGCATTTCGCGCGACACCCCTACACACTGCCGCCGACACACTAATGTGTTGCGGCACACAGTTTGGAAAGCTCTGCCTTAAACAACAGCAAGGCCTTGCTCCATTTGGTAAATGCATGCCTAGACAGGAAGGTCTTACATCACTTCTTAAAGACACTTCAGCTCTCGCAGGCCTCAAGGGGGAGAGAGAACTCCAGAGCTGAGGAGCAATTGCTAAGAAAAACCTCCCCCATACTTTTGCCAAGTGGACTTGGTGCGTTGATGGTATTTGCATGAGGTTCCTCTCTGATGACATTCGGGATCATAATGGGGCATAAAAAAGGATCGAGGGGCTTGGAGCATTTCCATTTTCACAGGCCTGCATTTTGTATATTGGCATCTATTCTACCCAGGACAGCACACAAACACCAAGAGATTCTCCTTACGCCTGAAAAGGAGTGTTTGTGCCCGAAACCTTGCAAAGAACAAATTTTCCAACTATTTAGTTGGTCTAATAAATTATATCACATCTACCCAAAAAATCCTGTCTACATTATATGTTGGTAATGCTGGTTCTCTTTTTTTAAGCAAAATCATTGCATAAATACAACCCCTAGGATGGATACAATTGTATCTAGAGGTGCACAGACATATCAGTCACATATTGGATCAGCGACAATAACAGGAAAATTAACATCATTGGTAATAGGCTTTTTTGGCCAATAATGTCATCAATAAATGCCACATGGCACAGCATCCATGCAGCCAGGAATGCAACCTGGAGAGCACCATCCTGCCAATAAGTCTGTGTTGGGGAAGGAGCATGGGGGAGAGAACAGGTATGGGGGGGGAAGATTGAGGCCCCCCTGGTGAGGGAGGGAGTGGGGCAAGGGCAATGCCCATCCAGGGCAGTGAATGTGACCCCAGGGCAAGGTGTGGGGCAGAGTTGCAGGAGGCTTGTCCAGGGGGTGCAAGAGGATGAGCAGCTGCCTACCACTGCACGTACCCCTGGGGAATACATGGGGGGCATGTGCCCCCTGGATTTGTGCACAAGGCAAGGGTGGGCTTCCCACTGTGAGCTTGGGTCCAGGGGCTATGCCAGCCTCTTCCCAGTGTGGGGGCTGGGCCAGGGCTGCACTTGGGGCAGGGCGGGCTTAGCTGCATGGGGTGGGTGGCGGTGGCACTGGGAGGGGCGGCAATTTTTGGATGGTGATATCCCACAAAATCTCCCCTAGCACTGCCCCTGCTCACGGCACTTGCTCTGCTGCCTTTCCCTCGGGAACCCCGCACTGGCCCCATGTCCCCTCCCCCCCCTGCAGCATGGGGCTCCTGAGGAAAAGACAGCAGAGTGAGTGCCCCAAGCAGGGGTGGCACTACAAGGAGGCGTGGGGGGCTATGGCCACCCCAAAAGTACCTGAAGCCCCCCCCATAGCCCCTCTCAGGGCTGTTGCCATCCACCCTGCACAGCTGAACCCACTCTGCCCACACCCACCCCAAGCGCAGCCCCAGTCCACCCCCACACTAGGAAAAGGCTGGCACAGTCCCCAGCCCCAAGCCCACAGTGGGCAGCCCACCCTTGCCCCATGCACAAATCCAGGGGGCACATGCACCCCATGCCTCCCCTAGGGTGCACGTAGTGGCGAGGAGTGCTTCCCCCCCCCCCCCCCCCCCCCCC